CAAACAGAAACGTCCTCGTATACCAAATAAGACCTTTACACAAGGTCTTTGAGTAGTGGGTGAGGATTCTTCGGAGCTTTTGTGACATCTTAAGGATTTCACTGTTCGTGACGTGCTGACGCTTTGCTCATCGAGAAGTTTAAATACTACGTCACATTGTCACCACATCAAAGGAATTAAGTAACCGAGATCAAATGCAATATACGAGGGCCGTTCAAAAATTACGCGGACTTGTTGCACAGAAAAAAATATTTGACGACATAATCGGGCAAAATGTCACACATAATACAAAATAATCTTTGCTTATATGGTCTTCAAAATTTGATATCAAAATTTGGTAAATTGGTTTCAGGACATATCACTAAGTCACGGAGCAGCAAAATCTTCGACGTCACAGGCATTATAAAAAATATGTGATTGAGCTTTCATTTTCTCAATATTTTCCCAAGAGTACCTGTACAGTTTTAGTTACCTTATCTACTCAACATCCAAACACCATTTCTTGTCAAGCTTAGAATCTATTAAACAAGTAAAGAATATTCTTTTTTTTGTTTTAAAACCAAACATTGCAGGTATTTATGAGATATAGTGTGATATTGGTGACTCTCAATCACGCGCTCTTTTACAGTCCGGATAAAGTTTTCGTTGAAAATCTTCCCGTCCCCCCGTATAGCCTTTTTACATAGATCTTACGATCTAAAATTTCAATTTGCTATTTGTGGACGAATGTCACGAATACCCTAGTTTGCTACATGTCTTATTATGGATATTTTGGGTCTATGTTGGCGATATCTCGAGCATTACACATAATTATGTTCCCCAAACGAAGTTGGGGAACATATTGTTTTTACTCTGTTTCTTATTATTATTATTATTTTTCTTCTTCTTCTTCTTCCTGGAACTTTTTTGTCCGGGAATGATCTTGTAAACTGTTCGTCCGATGTAGGTAAAACCTTTTTAGGGTTAGTAGACATGTTATGTAGATTTGCGGAATCAAGGTCATTTTGTGCGCACGTGCTTGCAAGAGCGTGCACGTGCAACACGTGAAATGACCAATATAATAGATATAGCCACAACTGTTCTATTTTTAAATGAAATGCTTTGAAACTCATAATGTGGGGATATATTAGTAGTATAGACATGACGACATGGTGAAAATAGCAAGATCTCACGCGCATGCACGTGCACTTCGCTCTGATTGGCTGCAACTAAAGTCTCAATATCTTTCTTGTTTTTTGACGAAATCCTTTGAAATTTTGAACATAGCCATGCATTAGGATATCCTACAACATGAAATAAAGCAATTATCATGAAAACACGTGCATGCACGTGCGCTGCAATCTGATTGGCTGAAACTTTAAACAGCTATAACTCCCTTGGTTTTCAACCAAACAGGATGAGATTTGGAACATAGATAGATATAATGGACTTCTACAAGTAGGTATGGTCACCATGCAAATGCATACACGTGCGTGTACATGTGCTGCAATCTGATTGGTTGAAACTTTAAACAGCTATAACTCCCTTAGTTTTCACCCAAACGGGGTGGAATTTAGAACATAGATAGATGTAATGGACTTCTACAAGAAGGTATGGTCACCATGCTCATGTATGCACGTGCGTGCACGTGAAATGAGTAAAATCAAACATACACTTGAATGAGCGTATTTTTTTTAAATAATTTTGGATTAAATACTTTAATATTCAGTATATTAAAAATATAGATTGTGTAGACAAGATGATATGGTCATGACGCAAATGCATTCACATGTGCACGCGTGCAATGCTAAAGTTTAAATGATTTTTGTACACTTCTTTGTTAATGTTGTTAAAATCTCAGATGCATAGGGGCTGTCTTATTTAATGAAGCTTACAGGGAATATGGCACCAAAAGGGAGTTGGGGAGCGTTTGGGGAACATCTGTAACGGTTCCCGTTACAATTAGCACTAGTTTAACAAAATGTGGTGCGCCGTCAAATCAGGAGACGTCATTTTCACAGTCGTTTTCACGGGAATCGCATCGGAGAAAAATCACTATATTTCTGTTAGTACTTCAAATATCACGTCAGAAATCTAAATTCATAATAATTAATAGAACAATTTAAAGATACATTTGAGAAAATTGTCGAAAAATATCGCGAATTATAGAATATTAATGAGTAAAATTTTGAATTCCGCATGCTTTTGCTTCAAGTTTTTTGTCGTGCTCCGTACCTCTCCATCAGCGATATCAACATACCGATAATTTTAGTAGAATTTAAAAAAAACAGAAATTTTGCCCTAAATTTATTGGAATCTTTAACATACAATTTTCTGTGAAATTTCATAACTATATGACGTCTGTAAGAGTAAATAATAGCACAGTCCGCGTAATTTTTGAACAGCCCTCGTACACATCATCGCCAACGTTACGCGGGTTCAAATTCATAAAAGAGGAAAGACAGTCCAGCCGTCCTTTTATCGAATATTTCCTGCATATATCTAAAACACATGAAAATTCAACATGATGCATTTTCTCTAGTCTATATCAAACTGAAGCTGAAGTGATTTATTCCAAAGCAAATATGCCATTTGTATATGATTACTGTATTGTATACATGCCACATGAAATGTTGTGCATGATCAAAAATAATTTGGGGATTTTTACGTATGCTAACGCACCACCAAACGAAAGTTATATTTTACTTTTCAAAACTTGTTTATGATGTATTTGATATATTATTATTCTACATAAACAAAAAATAAAGCATTTAAATGTCTTAATTGATAAATAACTACAATGTTAACCGAAGCGTGACCATTTCATAGAAAACGTGAAAATCGTATCCATACGAATTTGGAGGGATACACCGTGCAAGCGGTACCAGATAGCCTCGACCGAAATGGTCATAAATTTCTCATTTTTACTTTGCATTTTTGTTCTTTATGTTTCTACTAATTAGAAAATCAGAAAAAAAAATTAAAGACCTACAGTATGCTGCATTTGATCCCAAGAAGAGCGTGATAAAACAGATAGTAGGGTGGAATTAATCGAGAAACTTTTTTAGTGCGCAATAAATGTATAATACTTTTTTCAATGAGCGGCACTGTAGCCAAGGTTAGATATGAAATAAAAAGAGCCAAACTCCAAGGACAAGGGTCATACTTAATGGTGCCAAGTAAGGTAAAATATAAAAGCCCTAACACGAACTTTCCAAATACTATGGCCAAAATTAAAGTTTTTCAAAAGAAGGTCAAATTCCAAGATCAAGGTCCAAAGGTCAAAATTCCTTGTATCCAAACAAAGGTCTTGTCACATTCAATTGTAAGCGTTAGTTCTGACTGTTCAACGTTACGACCAAGGTTAAAGTTTGAAAAATTGGCCGAACTCAAAGGACAAGGTCAAAAGTTCAAAAATTTGTGTACCATTGGAAAAGTCATGTCACAATAAATACATATATTAAGTATGAAACTCCTAGTAAATCATACCTGTTCAAAAGGTTTTGTAATTCTTTGCAAAAATGAATCAAACTCCATGGTCAAGAGGTCAATATGGTTGGTACCCAAAAAAGGTCTTGTCACAAGGGATACGCATGTGAAATATAAAAGCCAGAGTACTAAACGTTAGGGTCAAGGTTAAGGTTTTTGAGGACAAACAGACATACGGACAGGGCAAAAACTATAAGTCATGTAGCCCCTAATCTTTGATTCATTGGGAGATCAGGTACTTGGTACATGTACCTTGATTTGAAAATAACTTTCAGGTAGATTTGACAAAATACCAATTGCAAAGAATCGATATTAAATCCAAAACCAGCTTTTTTTTTTGAGAATTGAGAAATTAGCATTTCATGCATTCGTTATTTTGAATGCTATTAATTTTTTTTGTTTATTTAATATTTTACATCATTAAACTGTGCCGTTTACAACTACTTGCCTTTTATTATTGATCAGTCATTGGTTTATTTTTATCCCCCTGATCTGGTTTTGTCCCGGTTTATGGTCCGTTGGCGTGTTATGGCCGTCAATCACTGATTGAGCCTAGTGATCTCTTTATTGTCCGAGGTTTTTCAGTGAACCCTTAAAGCGTCTCAATGTTTGATACTTACTGACTTAGCTTGGACATACTTGTAGCCGCAGAAAAAGGTAGGAATCTTAGTTTTGAAAAAAGAAAAAAAATCAGTTTATTTGGTTTGGATAATAAAAGCAAGTTTGTGATTAACGAGATAGTGTTTTGAAACCAAATTTTACGTGGCCCAAAACAGACGCAAAAATCAGGAAAATGACTGCTGATGTCTGGACCAGATATGACATATTTCATTGATCTGTCTATCAAAATAAAATCATAGAAAAATTTCTTTTTACTACACATCGTAACGTCGCCCGCGTGGCGCAGTGGTAAGAGCATCTGCGCTCGAGTCGCGGAGTAAGTTGGTGATTCTTAGGTCGCCGGTTCGAATCCCATTGTATAATATGGTGAGCTGTCCTTAGGATGGGACCGTATAAACTCATGTCACATGTCACAGTAGGTGCTGGCACGAAAAAGATCCCTCATTGCTTCATGGCCCTAAGTGACGAGTAAAGGACAAAATTTGAAGTTCTCCACCGGCAAATGGTGTATGAGTGAAAAAAAATTCTCGAGAAGGATTTAATAAACATTTTTTTGAAAGAAATTAATTTGAGAAGAAATGTTTTTACTGTTCTTTGACCACCAAACAATAATAAATGCATAATGTCAATGTAAATTTTCACTGTTAGAAATCCTTATACAGCTTTTCTGGCAAAGTTAGTAGGCGAAACTACGTCAAAAGCTACAATAGCAAAATCATTTCCATGTAGATGATATGTATCGTTCTTAAAAATTAGTATTAAAAAACATAACCTACACAATGACCAAACCTTAACAGCTGTATTTCTATTTCTAAGTGTAAAATGAAGCATTTTAGTTAAAGAAAATATAATTACTTGTAACTTGAGCTACAGATAGTCTTGTACATTGAATGCATTGTTTTCTCTTTTCCGTTTAGGTCCCCTGTCAACATGATGACACGAGGGCTTGTTCTGCTGCTATCAATTCTAGTCGCAGTAGACGCGGCTAAAAAAGGTAGGCCAAATGTGGATTTTATCGGTGAATGGAATTTCCCTAGTCTACCTTCATTATCCACGCAAATCAAGAACTTTATCTCAGGCAAAAGTAGTGCTAAGTTTTTACGCCCTATTTCGGATAAACCAAATGCTTCGTTGTCTGCTAAGCAACGTGGTAGACAATTTTCGGCGCATAAGCCTTTAGCCCCAAGTCCTGCCCCGTCCTTTAGTATCCATGGAAACAGTCAATACTTGAATTATCCCAAATCAAAGAATATTCAGATCGTTCCCCGAGTAAAGGCAAGAGACCGGATATTTATACGCAATCAACTCAATCTTTTACCGACAAGCAAAGTACCAAAACCTCAGTTTGTTCAAGTGAATCCAAAACCAAGCAACCCACCCCCTAAACCATGGGGAGCACCAGGCAGACGACGAAATAAGCCTCCTCCTAAAGCGACTCACCCAACATTCGTGTACCACACGGTACCACCCACACTTCAAGCCCAGGGACATCCGCCCCCTCAACATCTCCGTGCTGCCTTCTCGACAGATCAAGGTAAGAAGAAGCAGTATACACATAGTGACACTCTTGTAGATTAGAAATGTTCATGTATGTGATGTTGTTGATATTTTTCATTGATTTTTAATCAAAATGAAGACATTTCTAGCCATCCTTTAACAAGAACAATGAAAGGAATAAAGGATACGAGTATGGTGGCATAAATTACCAGTTTCCCTTTTTGAAAGGAGATGTTTGTTTTCTTTAAGGCAGAAATCCAATGCTTTCATTAAGTTTTGAGGATACGTGACTCTCTTTTTAAGTAATAAAATGCAAAAATTAAAGGACAAGATAACGTGTATCAAGGTACACAACATTACCCGCCATGATTGAAATGAAGAAGTGTGTAACATTACATGTATTAATTTTCATTCAAAGAAAAAATACACTTCTCACATAGCACAGAAAGTGTTGAAAATATGAACACCAATTCGTGTCCTTGATAGCTGCAGAAATGTAGCTCTCCGAAAAAAAGTATACCCGGGGGGGGGGGGGGGTATATTGACAGACCGGAGAGCTACAGTGCCACCCATTGAAAAAAACTGTATACTTATTGCGCACAAAAAAGTGCCCTCGGTTCTTGATTAATTCTTCCAAATTCTTACCTCAATTGCAAAGAAGCTAGATTTCAAAAAACGTCCTTACTCCTCCATCAATTACTCTCGTAGTTTAAATCTGTACGAAGCACGTTGGACCGATTTATCTAGCAAACCAAAATGGCAGTATAAATAGGCGAAATTTTCGATGGTCTCCATTTCAGGACCAGGAGGGCTATTAAAAAAACAATTATACAAAATGTTTTGTTGTGGAAACAATGAAAGAATATGTTAGGAACACACGAATAGTAATATTTTGAGATGACAGTTTTAAAAACATGGAGATAGAAAAATCAAGAACCGAGCGCGCACTTTTTTGTGCGCAATAAATATACGGTTTTTAATAGGTGGGACTGTAGCTCTCAGATCTGTCAATATACATGTTATCTTTTTTTCGAAGAGCTACAGTTCTGCAGCTTTGTCCTTGACAGATTTTCCTTCTAGGTGTAATATATATGCCAGTAGTGATTTTCAACTCTTTAACCCTCAAATACTGGATATTTAACACTATACAAGCACAAACGCAAAAACACATACTGATGAGTATCTTTGTCTTCTTTAGAATCGTTGACCTTTTAAATTTGTAATATAATTAATAAATTTGTTATATCAAAATTTGATTTTGAGCGCTAGCAACTTTCTGAGTATTTTTTGGAAAAGAACCTCGAACGTGTTACTTAGGCATCCATGAAAACCCGAATTTTCATGAACATTAAAATAAATAGAGGGATATTTAAGGAATTGTCTAGTTAGTAGAGTATGCGAGGGCATCAACGAAAGTTGGAAACGTGGGATAATTTGCATAAAGGGCGAACATATTTAACATACAAGAGTGTCTTTATGTTCAATACAATTCAAGAAACGTACTTAAAGTACTGTTGTGCGGTAATTTTCTCAATTTTGTAATCGAAGTTACATGTAAAACTTTAAGAAATCGGGGAAAACAATGAGAACTTTTTATGTTCTGAACATAAAAATAAACAAAAATAAATTAATATGATTAAATAAGGATTATATTCCATTCCATACAATTAATCCACGACCAAACAAGATGTTTTTGTAAAATTTTTATGCCCCGGATATGGCAGCGTATAGCGAAGATTTGTTTCTTTAATACAAGTCAAACTCAAAGGTCGAAGTCCAGAGACATGTTGTTACTATTAAATGCATCTCTATAGTTTGAAGTTTTGGGAACTAAACGTTCAAAAGATATGGCCATATTTATAATTGTTTTTGTTGATCCAACTCCTAGATTAAGGAAAAATGGTGAAACTTTATGTTCTCATGGGAAGGCCTTTTCATAAGAAAAATGCATGTTTAACATGTTTAAGATATGAAGTCCTTAGCTACAACTGTACAAATATACATGTATGGCCAAGTGAAACTTTTTTTTTTCAAAAGTAGGTTAAACTCCAAGGGGGTCAAGGTCTTGTAACAGTCATAGCTTACGCAAGTGAAAGATGAAATTCCTTGTGCTAACTATTTGAACGTTATGACCAAGGTTAAAGGTTTTCAAAGTAGGTCATAGGTAAAGGTGAAAACGTAAAAAATATTTATACCCAAGGGATGGTCCTGTCACAATGAGTACATATCTGAAGTGTGAAAATCCTAGCTTCGACTGTTCAGAAGTCAAGGCGAAGATAGGTAATTTTTGTTAAAGCTGGTCAAACTCCAAGGTCAGGAGATCAAATACGTTGGTATTTCCCAAGTAATACACATACGAGGGTTGTTCGAAAAGTTCGTGGACTCCTGTCATATCTTTTTTATGTCATATGCAAACCAATTTTGCAATAAATCCAAATGGTTTGTGTTTAAAAAAATTAATATATCTAATTAATTTCAAACCATACAAAAATTAAAAAAATTTAGAACTTCACAAACAACACATGTATATATGGCACTGCCACGTTTTTGCGTTAAATTGGTTCATATTCCAAATTATGGCAAATATTTTGATTCCTGAAAGCAAAAATGACAACACAGGACAAAAAATTTTGTGTTATACTCGGGAAAAAATCTATATACACTATTAAGTCGTGCATGTGTTTATAAACTGTACAGGCGGTTCGAATAAAGGGGCGGTTTATCTGAAAAATCTGATCAAGAACTTTAAAAATTTGACATCATTGTTGCTAATCTTGTAAAAGCACAGCTAAGTTGTAAAAGAAATTAAAACATTGACAAAGGAAATTATACAATGAAAGCAATTGTTATATGTATTGGGTTTTTTTGACGTTACATCGCCGTTAAGTACTCAGTTGAAAAATACTATTAAATCGTACTCAAATAAAAATGTTTTTAAATTGCATAAAATACAATTAGAACTTATAGTATTGTTTCTAAGCTTCCCTAACAATTGTTTAGATATGTTTCTAAGCTTCCCTAACAATTGTTTAGATATCTACTTCTGTGTATAATGCATTCACTAGAAATACCTACAACGCTAGCTCACCTTACATTTTTTAAAGGCACTCTACAATCTCGCAGAGGAATGTTTTTGGACTTTATTTATAGGGAATGCAAAACTTGCAATCTAATAATGTGACCTGCTGTTGACATTATTAAAATTAATTTCAGTTGCAGGTACTAATATTCAAATAAACACCATCGATTTCTGCTTGTTTAGGAAAACTTATTTAAGAAAGAAGTGTTATTTTTGTCAATGAAGCAATCTAAGCTTTTTAGATCATATTTCATAATCTAAGAGAGGTGCTTGCAAGGGGATACAATCTAAAGTTAAACTTTTCATAAATTTAAAACGACTAGATAACATGCTGTAGTTGCATTTTACATGTGATTAGTTATTTGAGGAGGAGACATTCATAAAGATACAATGATGAAATTTAAGACTATTTTATTACCATTTCACTATTTCAAATTTATCTCTTTGACCATGAAACTGACTTTTATATTTCCAAATGATTTTACTTGTGTTCTTTTTTCAGCTCAACACCCACGTGTACATCAAGCACAACCACAACAACTTTTCCATCCACCACCTCAACCGTCTTTCCAAGCCCCGCAAAATCAGCAACCCCCGCATCAGGTCTTTCCTCAGCAATTTCACCCACCACCTCAACCTCAATTCTCTCCCTCTCAAATAACATACCAACAACCACAATTCCAACAGCCTCCTTTGCCTCAAAGCAAAGTATCTCCGACACAGCAAATAAAAAATCAAAAGAAACGAAAAAGAAAACATAAAAAGCAGAAGACTACCAAACCATCCCCCCAGTCCCAACCGAAACAAACCCCTACCCGACCTCAATATGTTGCACCGCCGCAACATCCAATACCCCAGCCACAACCTCATTATGTTCCGCCATCACAACAACAGTTACAAATACCCCAAAATCAGCAAATACAACAATCTCAACCGCATTATGTTGCACCACAGCAGCCAATGATGCAACAGTTCCAGCAATACGTTGCACCACCACAGCATATGATGAGCCAATCCCATCCACAGTATGGATTACCCCAGCAATATCCTCCCCCTATGTATCATCCACAACCAATTCACTATCAGCCGATGTATCAAGCACCTGGACAACCACAGACGACTAAAGCCAAAACAACCACGACCACCACAACTACTACCACCACTGCACCAGAAATTGAAAGAGAAACAGAAATCAAATCAAAAGGTCGCACGACAACATCACAACCAAAGCAACAAAGTGTTCCAATGCCACAAATGCAGCAACAATACCCATATTATTACCCTGTACCACAAGCTCCAGTACATCCACAAACAGTGTATGTACAGCTACCTCCCGCTCAACAACAGCCACAGTTTCTGCCATCACAACAACCTCAGCCGCATCCACAATATATGCCAATCCCCAAGCCTCAGCAACCTCCAGCTCAAATACAGCAACAGTTTCTGCCATCACAACAACCTCATCCGCAACCACAGTATATTCCAATTCCCCAGGCTCAGCAGCCTCCAGCTCAAGTACATCAACAACCATATTTTCAGCCCTCACAACAACCCCCGGTGCATCCACAATATATGCGAATCCCCACGCCTCAGCAACCTCCAGCTCAAGTACATCAAAAACCACATTTTCTGCCATCACAACAACCTCCAACAGAACCACAGTATAGGCCGATCGCTCAGGTTCAGCAACAGTTCAGGCCTTCACAACAACCTCAGATACAACCACAGGCTCAACGAGAGCCGCCAATACAACAACAAACACACATGCACACTCAAACTACGTTACCACCGGCAAACCCTCAGTGCAATTACTTTACTGTAGATCGAGGGGTACTAAAATGGTTCCCCTGTGAGTTGCCAAAGACTGGTCCACCACCTACCGTCAAACAAGTGGTAACTACCACTCCACGAATCACTACGACCACGACTAAAACTACAACACCTGCTCCAATACAATACCATTCTCCAAATTGTGATTACTGGTATATAGAAAATGGAGTGTATAAGTGGTACGCATGTTCTACAACTCGGCCTCCAACGACAACCCATTCGGTAATGGGATTTTTCGACTACCTTTTCTTCGGTGCTCCTACACAACCGCCAATTCCGACTAAGCCACCTCTTCCACGTTTTAATTCACATACTAATCGCCATATTACTCAACATCTTGATCTGAGTTCTTTGTGGAAACCAGCACCTGTTAAAGTTGACATTACGTACAAAGAGGTGGAAAAGGCAAAGTAAAGAAAAACGTATTGTAGTCCTCTACCTTTTTGTCAAAGCCTTCATATTCCTTACTGTGTCAAGTGCTAGTGTCTGAAGAGAAACACGATTAAAATTTGAATCATTTATACCGCCATCTTTAATTCTGCCACTCAGTGTCTCTGTTTAACAATGAAGGATCTAAGTCTGAAACACTGAAACGGAGGTAGATCTCAATAAACTATTGTTAGTCATTGGGTGATATCTTCAATGGTGAAGGTTACGTCTCCAGAAGGACAAAAAGAACGCCAGTTATACATGTAGTTGTTTTTATACACATATATGTATTACTTCATTTATAATAAAAATCACTAAAGACCTGGTATTTCTTAGGTATGTTAGCAATTGCACAAGACATAAATATATAAATTGACGAAAATAATGAAATTGCAACTTAATTTTTGTTTTCATGGGTAAGAAGAAATAGCCGTATAAAATAATTTTTCAATTTCATTTTTCATTCCACGTTTTTTATATATATCCTATAAAGAGATAGAAGAACATTGTTTAGATCAGTACAGGCTATGACGAACAGGACGAAATTTCAAAATTTCACTATCATAGAAGGTTTACAATTTCTTAATTTTGAACATAATATATATGCATCATGTGAAACCAAAACAACTCCGAAAAATTATACCGATCCATACATTCATATTTTTTTTTGTCACGTGTCTTATTGTCAGTATTTTTTACTGGATTAGATAGCCGATTGTCGTGAATTAATTTGACAAAGGCGTAAAAAGAATTACTTGGCAAATGATGGGTCTTTGAAGATTCTGACATAAATTGCTGGGTTTTTTGGTTTATGCCTTTTATTCATGATAAACTGATCATATTGTACTAGTAACATGGTTGGAAAAACGTGTGGGAAAAGACGTTTAGCTTCGTGAGTAAAATGAATAAAGTATATGTATTTATGATGAAGTTCTTATCATTATCAGTCTTATGTCAAAACAATTTTCTACTAAACATAATTTTGCAAAAGCTGCGCTATGATTTTAAAAGACAAGTCTGGTGGGGATTGAATACTATTGCTATGAGGTTTTCCTTTGAGACTTACAGTGTACAAACCACACAAGTCGAAATCTTGTTGGTATATGACCCCTAAATAACTGGAATTCAATCATTTCTTGAAAGAAAAAAATCAAATTGTATTCTTTGAGATATTGTGGATGAAGTATTATGGTAGACAATTTTTTAAAACAATATATGCTTCTTTTAATATATATTTACTTTCAAAAACATTCTCTTCTATCAAAATCGTCTTATTAAATGGACAATGGTAAGTTTTACGCTTTATGGTTCGAGCATGCTAGTTGCATAAATTGGACAAATTGTCTTCATATCAGATCAAAAGCAAAAAGAGAAATTGTAACATACAGTATTTTACATTTATGTTAAATGTAACTGACGTACCAAAGAAACTTTTGTTAAGACTAAAACATTTTTTCGCTAAATTTTTGAACAGGGGCATTTTCCTCTCCTTATTTGACCCTATTCTTCGATTAAACTTTCCCTTTCTATATTTTTACAAGAGCCTCCTCGTGTCGCGGTTCACTTTTCTGGTAGTTGTAACAGTTGCTTTCTGAAAAGAGGATCCAGGATGAGCATTTAGTATTCTGTTTTTGTTCTTTCTTTTTCTGTATGAATATTCATTTAAGCGTTGAAAGGGAATTCATATTTTAATGTCGTCGGTCGAATAACAGCACCTGGCCCAATCGCATCATCTCGGGTCTTTCCGTCAAAGGTCGGAAAAACAACCTCGAATGTATTAACATCACCGGATGTAAAAAATTTATACATCTTCCTGTTTATTCAAATATAGGATAGACGGATTTAGAAGTCCCTTCTATAGTATATTCTAAGTGATATCATTGATTTACATTGAATAAAGTTAATCTCCATATTCCACAGATAAAAGGTCTCCATGCATTTATTTCAAAGATCGTGAAAAGGGAGGGTTGTCATGGCGTCTGCCACATACATTCGAGGTCGTTTTTCCGCTAGTCGGAAAGGCCCGAGAAGTTGCGATTGCACCTGGCCGTGACGACAAATAGAATACTGCCCATTGTCGGATCAGGTAGGCGCTCATTCCACCTACGATATGCAAAAACAATTCCATGTATGTGCATGTATTCCTAAGAACTGGTTTAATTAATAGTCGTAAGGATTTTTGACTTGGAAAGATAGATAGCTTGAATAATTATTGTGAAATGAAAAAATAAAAATTAATTCTAAACGTACAATTGTTATATTTCTGCAATTTTAAATACTATTATGTTAATTGTTATTTATTAAATTGAGCTAAAAACAATTCTTTAATTGCTGTCTTCCGCCGCTCCGTGGTTTTGAGTGTTACAGGGGTTGAATATCGGAAATTTCCAATGCATATCGAGTCAGCACTTTACCTGTGAAAGATCAGGATTTGGGCAAATGTACTTTGTGTTTTTCCTTATCATACATTACGAATTTACTTCACATTTGAAAGTCTTTCTCTTACCTCTTGAAAACAAAAAAAACAGGCAAACTATTTGCATGGGTATAATGATCATTAGCCTTTAACCAAAATTGTGGAATCTAGCACGTCCCTTGGTCCAAGTGCCCAGGGAAGTACATCTAGCAATAGGATGAACATTCAAAATCTGGCGACGAGAACACTTGATAACGAGAATATTTCTGTATGCTTCAAAGCTGAATGTTTTAAAAAGAAAATGATCCTATACAATTTCTCTCTTGTCTGGGGTTAAGTTTAAACGTTCAGATATGTTTTAAAACCAAATGAAAAAAAAAAAATCTCGTAATTTGAACAAACTTAATAATTTTACATTCAGCAAAACATATCAATTTATGCATTCTCGCATGTAGAACTAACTACATGTAGATAGATTAGATAAAGAAGAAAAGTTTTAAAAAGGTGGGATTGAACTATTATCAAACGTTACCTATCCATAAACAATATCATATATTTTTTTTGTTTTAGTGCAACCTAAGCGGGCGAATCAGCAACAACGACAACAACAAGGTCCCCAACCGCAACGCTGGTCACGGCAACCAAATCAGCAACACCAGCCGGTGTTACACGCACAACAGTTCCACCCTCCACAATTCCGCCAGGTGGCGCAGCCCCAGTACTTCCACCCTCCACCATACCAGTACCATCCACCACAACAAAGGCAGCGTCCTCAGCAACAGAAAACACCGCAACAGAATACCAAAAAGCAACCTTTAAAGAAGCAAGCACCAGAAGTGAAACCCATGCAACCTGCAATTCAGCCTCAAGTTGCAGTTGTACGTCCTCCATATCCACAGTTTCTCCACCCTTTTCCACACCCACCAATACAGTACCAGCCTCTTCCCTTGCAACAAAAGCAGCAAACCAAAACAAAGAAAACAAGTAATCAAACTTCTCAAAAACCGATTCAAAAACCAGCACCACAATCGCCGCCAAGGCAACTTCTCATGAAACCCCAATATCCCGTTGTACAACCTCAACCAAGGTATATGATGCCGCAAATGCATTACCCTCCTCAGTTTTACCAACCCCAGTACTATCCTCCGCCAGTTTATCAAATTCCTCTGCAGCCACAAACCACTAAACCAAAACCTACCACCACCACCACCACAACCACTACAACCACACCGGAACCACCGGAAATGGAATCTGAAGGTAAATCTGGAATGCCAGCACCGCAAGTTCCTTGTAACTCCTGGTACATTGATCGCGGGGGCGTATACAGATGGTTACCATGTCCTTTACCACCCCAACCTGTGACAAGACCCACTCGGCGACCAACCACCAAGCCACCACGAACCACCACCGCCAGCCCCGGTCCCTTTATCACCCAGGAGTGTGACTACTGGTACATTCAGAAGGGGGTGTACAAGTGGTACGCGTGCCCGACCCTTCCGCCACCAGCAACTACGCAGGGACTTTTCGATTTCTTATTCAACCCTCCCACTACCCTTGCGCCTGTAAATATATTTCCAGTAGTGAAGCAGGGTCCCGTGAAAGTTAAGATTTATCATAAGGAAGTAGAGAGAAGCTGAATAACCATGTGTTACATATAAAGCATCTCCCTGGTGTTGGGATACTTCATGTGCTTTTAAGTATCCTCATATTGTGTTATTCCATAAGTATAGGCCAAGAAAGCAATAATCGTTAATTATATTTCACTACATCTATATTTCATGTACATCAAAAAGTGAAAGAAAAATATTTATTTTTAAAGTAGTTGGAGTTTAAAATGCATGTCTGTCTTCATTTTCTTCAAATATCATGTTTTATCAAATTAATATACATGAATTCTACATCAATAATTTTGCACAATGTATGTTTTCTCTATTTCTTGAATAATGAATTAGATTGTCAAACGGACATAATCAAGAATTTGATCGCGAGTCTAAATACATGTATACCAGAAACCTTTATTCTTTACACAGTGGGAGTTTGAAGGCTGTCGAAGAAAAATTGGCAATTAAACAGTTTTTATCATATTTTTATCGAAAGATCACAAAAGATACAGAAAACACTTGAAGATGTGTTTGTGAAACACTGATGCCCCCGTATGGCAGCTTATGATTAGGATTGAAATTTCTAAGTTGCAAGTTTAACTCCAAGGTCTAGGTCAAAATTGCTGGTACCCAAAGGAAGGTCTGACACAAGGAATACACCTGTAAAATATGAAAACCCTAGTACTACCTGTTAAAAAGTTTTGGTCAAGCTTAAAATTTATTAAAAGCTGGCCAAACTATAAAGAGTCAAGGTCAAAAGGTCAAATATTTCTATACCCGATGAAAGGTTTTGTCAAAGTAAATACACAAATGAAGTATGGCAGCCCTAGCATCAACTATTCAAAAGTTATGGCTATGGGTAAAGCTTGGAAACTTTTCATGAAGTGGGTCAAACTCCAAGGTCAAGCGGTCAAATTTGGTGGTACCAAAAGAAAAGTCTTGTCACATGGGATACATATGTGAAATAAGAAAGCCGTAGTTCGGACAATTCAAAAGTAATAGACAATGTTAAAGTTTCTGCGGACAGATACATGGACGGACAAGGCAAAAACTATATTAGGTTCACATATACCATAGACAGGTTAAAAAAAATCATTAGGAAAAATTAAGGTCAACAAATCAGGACTGTGGAGAAAAACAACAAATATTTTCCTCAATTACGAGTATCATGATAATAAAAGCACAATACAAGGAGACATTAACGAGATCTTGCATCAAATACAAGTGAAGGCGTTTGCTTTGTCGAAAGGTTACGTTGACATAAATCTGTTTTACATCTAATCCACATGAATATAAATAGAGAGAGAGAGAAAGAGAGAGAATCTTTGAAAAGTTAGACAACTCGTATTTTATTTTCCAAACTTTAAAAAAAACACAGTCTGTACATAGAGTTGGCAAGTATGGCAAATGCGTTGGGAAGAAAGTAAAAATTTGAATTTTTTTTTAAATTTTGTATTTATTCAATTTGATTAGGATAATTATATTTTATTCTGTTCGGTATTGGTTCAAGGAACTTACATGTAATAAACAATTTCGGTTTTCCGTTAATTTCGGGGGGGGGGGGGGGGGGGGGGGCAATATTCCATCGATTTTGCCGACTTACGGGAGAGCAACCTTGTCCAGAACAATAGTCACTCATTGTTAAGGAATAATTTTCCAAACTGATTCCTGGTTTGTTTGTTTTTTTTCGATCAAGAACAGGAACACGCGGCGGGTGTAACCGATCAACAGGGAACGCTTACTCCTCCATGGTACCTGATCTCACCTCTGCTGTAGATCGAAGTCACTGTTTGCTCTGCTCCCAATTTGTCATGTTATAATAGACATTTGAGTTTGACTTTTCGTGGCCTTCATATTTCATTTATTTAGGATTCTTATGAGCGGTATCATTTTTATACTTTCATTAGGATTGTAATTACACATTGGTTTTGTAATGAAATATGGATAAATAAGCCCAAAGAAAACATATCGAACAGGTTTCAACATTTCATTCTAAAAGACCTAAAAAAGCCAATAAATATGTCAGCTGAAAGTGTGCTTAGATTACAATAAAAACAGGTTGCTTGACCTCGACAAAAATATTATGTAAATTTCTTTGGAAAGCGTTTCTTTATGGATAGGGTCCTCCTTCCATGTAAGTTACATGTATCTACCATACGGAATTGATAATAAAGTCATCATATAGGGTCGCTAAGCATGATTTACCTTTATACATTCAACACAAGAAATGATGGGAGGCAGAATCACATAACTTAAAATACCTTATTAGTGATTAGAAGTATGCCCTTTCTATCTCACCTATGAAGGAATTAAATGAGGAAGGAAAAAAGATTTCTGGAAAGAAAACTAGGCATAATATGGTCAAGGCGGGAAGAGGGGGGGGGGGGGTGTTGAGGATAGGGTGGTTGCCGATCACTTCCTATACAATGTAATATGGACATTGAAATGACCCATTATAATCTTGTTAATGAACTCTATATGTTATAATATGTATATTGCAAAAAAGCTTGCTTATATAAATTATATTTTGTGCGCTTCTTGCAAAAGAAGAAACGATATTCAACTCATTACTCTGAAATTCTCCTTAAGGATCCTTTGTACACTACACACTAAAGAGTTCCAATTCAATGATATATATGTATTTTAATGCAGTTAGAGGGATCTGCTCTTATATCTAAAACTAAATAAATTGAAATCTACAGTATGTTACTCTTCTTGTAATCAATTCAAATATTTCTAACATTTTGTTAGGCGAAATATATAAAAAGTGAAATTTCATTTGAATGTATTTTATCCTATTTAAAAAATCAACTTACAGTGATTTATGTTCGATCATTAATCAATACCGTGTTTTTATTATTATTTATTTTCTTTTTTAGAATTTTTTTCTGAGGGTAATTTGCAGGTTTGAAATATATTGAAAATGAAATAATGGACTCAGCATTTACATTTTTTTGTTGTATGAAATAATCTTTTTATAATAAAAAAAAAATTATTCGTATATATAGAGGGTCCTTTAATAGATTTCTTCAAGCAGTAAACGGCTATTAATAGTTTTCTAAAGAAAATTATAAGGATGTGCACTGTAAAAAAAAAAAAAAACCCATTAAATTTATTTCTCTTACAAATCTTCACGGAAAGCTTAAAATCATTAACCTTTGGACCAGATATTGTTGACTTCATTAGCTGTACATTTTACTTTCACTATCAACAAAGGAAACGCAATTCCTCATTAAAGCAAACTCTTGATTATTTCACCGAAGAAAGGTACAGTGTGCAATAGCTGTTCAAAACATTAAACAACAATATTTAATATATTCAAACGCCAGTGTTGTATTCCTTTATTTCTGATGAATCTAAATTAAATCTCCCCAAACTACAAAATATTTCAATGTAAATCCATAGCAAATTTTAAAATTCTGGAAATTCTATAAGAAATTCTATAAGAATGTTTGCTGTGGTCTGCTCTTGTTTACGTGTATCACTCCGCGCCCCGAGCGGACATGTTTACAGGTCCGTTAACACATGTTTTTACTTAGTTCAGTGTTGTACGTGACAACTATATTCTTATTATAATTAATTTTGTTAATTATTTCGCTCTTTCCTCCCCCTAAGTAAGCTCATTAAATATATCACTTAATGTGTAAACTATCGGAAGGACAAAAGAGAGATATAGTTGGCGCGATTTCTTATTAATCATGTCAATCTTTAAAGAAATGCATTGCAAATTGATTTCGTAAGGATCGGATTTTTTTATGCTTGTAATTATCCAAAAATGATATTTTATCATTTAAAGTTACGAGGTAAGGCATTTGCATACTAGTATTTTGAACTTAAATATCATTTTAATATATCGAAAATAGATCAATATTTTGACTCAGTGTTTTTGTTGTTGTTGTTTGTTTTTCGTGATTGTTAATAATATCTTGTTTACTATTGTAAGTTTTCAAATTTAAGACTTTAAAAGAAAAATAAAAGAATCCCATTTGATCTTCTGAAATGAAAAAAATGAAGTAAAAATATTTCATAATTATTAATGTGCAATGCAGTGAAAAAAATAACACAAACATGTTAAGCATATAATTCATGAACGTGATGAAAACGGTCAAATTCACTGTATATATACTTAAAATTATTGACACAAGAATGTTCCGGGGAATAAAAATGCTCCATAATAAATAAATTTAGTTGAAGATTGATGTACATTACTGACAACACTTTCTTAGATTCTACACCATCATTATCCCCCCTTAACTTTCATCGGAATAAGTTTGATTCTATTTATAATTATGGAACTGGATTGATTTATATTTCAGAACCCTCTTAGTCATGGACATGCGGATACGAAAGCTATATTGTCAACTCCTTTGGCTGGGAATCTTTTCGCTTGCTTTGTCCGCGCCACAAAAGTTTGATGTGTATGTTGCTTCCGATCGGGGCATTTCTCAGGCCAAACTTTCTTATCTCGTCAAGCAGACTGAAAAACCTCCACTTGTCTACTCTACTAAGGAGAATCATGGTCCTAAATTTTTACTTGCAAACACTGCTGCGAATAATAGAATTGTGCCTTCCGGTGCTGAAAACTCCAAAAACTTTCGTCAATATATCAACAGTAGGCATTATTCTGCAAACAAACAAAGATTTGCAAGCAGACCAATTACAGAAAATATACAACAAAGTATTTCATCTGGATTTAAGTACAACACCCAACCAAGTGTAAGAACGGGCGACTTTTCAAATGGACAGAAATCCTTAACAAATCAATTGGACCAATCTTCAAGCATAACGAAAGATTCCATAAACAGTGCGTCGCTTCTATCCCCATCCAAACGCAACACGCGTAGCAACAAGTCTCCCAGTATTTTATCGAGTATGTTCAGGAATATGAAAGGGTTCCGTGATATTGTTCCCCCGACCAATCAGCTCCAGAGACCTCGTGACATTTCGTCCTATTGGCCCGATATAGCCAACGATAGACTTCAGCCCATCATTAATGATGTCATGTTTCAGGAGGAAGATGACCGGGTATTGAAAAGAAGTGGCCATGTCTTTCTTCCTCCCTTGTCAACAACAGAAGTCTCGACAGAGAATCAAAACTCAATGTCTGCTACAATTACATCAGTCTACAGAACAGAACAAAACAGTAATGTGGATTTGCAGCAAAGTAGTTCCTCATTAGATATTCAGCCGAAGCACAAAATTGAAAGCCATCCAAATTCCAGTGATGACGTTTATCAACTTCCCATTCATTATAATATCTTAAATCCAAAAATAGAAATCCGTGAGGACAGAAACCAGCAAACAACTTTTTCTGTGAATCTAGACAAAAACATCGACACAGGAAAAATTATGATCTCTTATACAGATTCAAAAACACCCAATTATAGTTTTGGAGAAAAAGATTTACATAAAGTTGTAAAAAATGCAGACATAAAAGGCACGATTGGCGAAACACTTAAAGGAATGGCGCATGAAACAAAGAAAGATTTGGTACACCTCCTTCTTCACAAATTTCCTTACAACACGAGAGAAATTTCATCAAAACCGAAAAATATCCGGGAAAGAGGCAAAAATTTTATTGATAATGGAAAAATGTATCAAACTTTATATCGACTTGCGAAAGCCATTCCTTTAAATAAGGTATCAAATGAGATTGCGATAAATCAAACAGCAATAGAATCGGACACATTCAGTAATAACATTGGGGTTGTAAATAACACAATGATCCAACAACATGAAAGCCCGAAGAAATCTAGTGAAGGAAAAAATGATCGCTTTGTGACCAATGAAAACACAACGAAAACAACGACTCCGTCTATACCAGGAAATTCTATTATTTCTCAATCTAGTTCTTCTCCTGCGGTTCAATCTTCAACTGCTTTAATTGCCACAAAAAATAAAAACACAAAGCAATCGAACGTTGAACAACAAAATAAATATTACAACAAATTTCCTCCAAAAAGCAATTCAGTGTTATCAGTGACGTCAAATGCCACAAAGGAAACACTGGTCCGTAAAAATAACACAAGAATTCACAGCTCCACATCGGCCTCCCCTTCCTTTGTCTTAGCAAATCTGCAAAGCAACTTGGAAGTTAAAGTAAAACAGATGGATATGGCTACAGTGAGGACATTGGATGATTCTGGGGCTCATGTATTTGGTTTTCAAACTACAGAAAAGAATCCATATTCATTTACCCAAATAATTACTTCAGGAACATTGAAGGGCAATCCATTTAAATCAACCTCCACCCAAAGCAAATCTTATCCTTCCACTACAGTAACAGCTGGTGAAATTCAAAATACTGGAACTGATGTCACCAGTACGAATACTTCATTGGTGTCGGAAACTACGGGATATTTAAACAATAGTACAGACCGTTTGCCTACAATTGCCACACCAAATACAACCAATTTAACTAATTTATTGCCGACATTCATCTCTGAAATAACAAAATCTTCTGAAAATATTACTGAGGTATCGACGATGAAAACAATACAATATATGAAAGACATCTCCAATGTTGAAAGCCTAAGTGGAACAACTTTACCCCCAAATATTTTAGGAAGTCAGTATCTGGAAAATCTTGATGAAAACAAAAACAACTTTGTGACATCAGCTCAAAAAGTGGCGCCAAATGAACTTTCAATTGATCTTGAAGAAATCAGTGATTATATTGAGCAATTCATAAATATCAAAAACAAGTCCAAGCGTCTTGAAAAAATACAAAAAGACACGACAATCGTCAGCACCATCAAAGATCATGAGAACAAGGATGCCAAAGATATTGAAAACCGGGATATCAAAGGCTTTGAAAACAAGACTGTCAGAGGAGACAAAAACAAGATTTTCAAAGGTAGTGAACTCAAAAGTATTGAAAACAAGGATATCAAAGCCAATCAAAACAATGATAGTGAAAACAAGGATGGTAAAGTGAGTAAAAACAAGGATGTCAGAGTGAGTAAAAACAAGGATGTCAAAAGAAGTAAAACCAAGGATTTCAAAAGCATTAAAAACAAGAGTGTGGAACATAAAGAAAACAAAGATGTCAAAAGCAATAAAAACAAGGATGTAAAAAGCAGAAAAAACAAGGATGCTGAAAGCAGTAAAACCAAAGGTGTGAAACGTAGTGAAAAGAAGGATGTCAAAAGCAGTAAAATCAAGGATACGAAACGTAGTGAAAAGAAGGATGACAAAGGAAGTAAAAAGACGGATGTAAAAGGAAGTAAAAACAAGGATGTGGAAGGAAGTGAAAACAGGGATATAAAAGGAAGTGATCATAAGAATGTCAAAGATAGTGAAATCAATTATGTCAAAGGAGGTGAAACCAAAGATGTCAGCAAAGATGGAATAGGAAGTAAAAATAAAGGTGTAAAAGGAAGTGAAAAGGAGGATGTAAAAGGAAGTGGGAAAAGAGATGACAAAAGTAGTAAAAGCAAGGATGTTGAACGTAGTAAAAACAAAGATATCAAACGTAGTGGAAACAAGGATGTCAAACGTAGTGAAAACAAAGATGTCACAGTTAGTGAAAACAAGGATGTCAGAGGAAGTGAAAACAAAGATACCAAAGGTAGTAAAAACAAAGATGTCATTATACAGATTCATTCTACCGCTCAAAATTACTCCAATAATCAAGAAAATAAAGATAGTTCAATACTTTATACAAATGGTCACCAACCTTTCCCTGTGAAAGCTTCTGAGGTAGATATTAAAGTCAATATCAGACAAGACGGTAAAGAAATTGAGGATTTGGTTTCCATTGATACAAGTAAAGGTAAATACGAACAGAATACACCTATTGTCGATACATCAAATACTACAGTCGAATTTAGAGACGGGAAAACACTTTATGACTCGGTCTTAACAGCAACAGAAAATTCTACAGGCAATGGAAAAGCAGATTTGTCTTCAAAAAGTAAAACATTACAAAGAATGAATGTATCATCAGGGAGCACAAGAGGTGACATTATAGGAGCTTCGGACTTTGAAAAGTTTGATTCAGTTGCCAATCCTAATTTGAGAAGAGAAGAGGTAAATTTTACATTGAACATTACCATTCCAACAGTTACTAAAAGGAACATTGAACAAAATAAATCTAAGAATATTTATAGAGCAGAAGCAGACATAAATAAGATCACAGCCATTGCATTGGACAACAATATAACTGGTACAAATGAAAAAGAAGATGGTTCTCATGCAGAAAAAGTCATTAATGAAAACATTGCAAAGGAAACTCAGAATCCTAAAAAACTGGGAACAATTAAAAGAAGAAAAAGCAAAAACAATTTTAGAAACGGGGAGAATAAAAGTCAAGCAGATTTGAGAAGCGGCATTACAATAACAGAGCACAATGCAGAAAATGCCACGATGAAACACAGTGACAAAATAAAAATCTCCATTACCAAGAAGAGAAAGGTTAAAAAAGATAGCAAGAAATCGAGCAAAAGAAGGACTGGGAAAAACCAAAATTCCTCAGATACAAAGAAGAAAACTCCTACAGAAAGATATGTCGTGTCAACTGAAACGGTCTCCAGCGGAAAGGGAAATAAATTCAAAACATTGAAAAACGTTTCAGGTAAAGAAAAGAAAGAGAAAGAAAAGAAAGAAGTGAAACAAGAAACTGCATGGCTGAACAAGACTGTAGAAACTCGTACCAATGAAAGAAATGAGTTGACAGAGGAAAAGAAAAAATTAAAACAAAAAGTGTCCAAACTGAAAACCGACGTTATAAAAAGAGATAGAGAGAAAACCCATTTTACTACAATTAAAAAGAAAAGGAAGAAAGTAAATGAGAAAGCGAAAAAGAAAAGGACCTCATCCCACAAATCAAGTGATATAAAGAAAAACAATACGATTGAAACAGAGGCTTTATTTAAACAGAAAGGATTCCAACCAGCCAAAAAGTCTCACAAAGATGAAGGGGGAAATGTTTCAATAAAAGAGACAACAACAAAAGAGAAAAATGATACGGAACAAATGAAACAAAGGAACGATCTGTTCAAGAAAATCAGCCCAAGAAAAGAGCAAAATGTGTTGAATAAACAAGAAAATAAAAGACAAAATCCAAGAAGTAATATACAGAAAAGTAATCAAACAGAGGCTAAAAGCGTCAAAAAGAAAATAGAGGATAAAAGTTATCCTACAAATACTACAATGAAGCTGGTACCTGTATCTAATAAAAAAGAAAGGGATAATGCGTCACAAACCAGGGACACAAGGAATCCAGTATTTGTAGAGTCAAACAAAACTGCAATGGCTAGAGAAAGAAAAGGTATAAAAGTTACAACTATAAACGATAGTAAAAGTCAAAATATATCGACAAACACGACTATGGAAAAAAAGATTGCGAAGAAAACGGTTTTGAAGAATAGGGAAAAGAAACAGAGTAACATTACGCAACAGAAGAGTAATAGAAAAAACAAACAAACAAAAGAAATCAAAACTTCGAATGAAAATCTTATTGAAAATATGAAGAAATCCGAGGTAGGAAGAAATGCTACAAAAGAAGAAGATGTAGCAGGAGGCAACTTAAATAAAACAGTATTATCAACTGAGGGTAAATTGAAAAATACACTACCAATGCCACGTATACCGAGATTTAAAATGAATTTGATTCAGGGTGCAAATATTTCTAAGGATTTCTCCGTCAAAGGAAATGATATGGATTTGAGCGAAAATCAAAGAAAAGACAAATTGAATGTCACAAAAAAATTATTGAACAGAAAGTATGACACTTTGGTTGACAAAAACATAGCTAAATCTCCCAAAAACAAAGAACTGTCTGCTAAGTTTTCACCTCCAAAGAGAAATAAAGACGGTTTAAAACCCAATGAAATATCACATAAAAAAGATACTGAACATATGCATAAAAGAAAAATTTCAGAGACCAGCTCCCGCATTTCAAAAGAAATTGAAAAGTTGCCAAAGATATCAAAAAAGACATTACTCAGTAAGAATAACCAAAACAAGCTTTTACAGCACAGGCCAGCAAAATCCATTATAAGCACTATCGTCACTCGTCCTACAATTGTTACACAGAAAATTAAAACAATAACTCCCATAAAGGAAGAAAAAATAAAAGATAATGGAGGATTTACGAAGTCGAACAAACCGCAGGATGGACGAAAATTAATTCCAGATACTAAAAATATTTTAGTTCCCGTAAATGTCCGAGAGGAATTGAAAAAGATTGTTAGTCATAAAGCGGAGACTCAGGTAAATAAAGTAGCATTGATAAGACAAGAAGCCCCCTCAATAACAGCTAGAACATCAACAGAAGTAATCCCACTACAGACTGTTATGACAACTTTACCTTCGCCAATACCAATGACAGGTGGAGGTTCTGTAGTGAATTCTTTGTTTCCTAGAATTACAAAATCCTCGTCTGGTCAAGTAAAACAAACCATGTCTAACCGAATTAGTGATTCCAAAATACCGTACGGTTTGGTGTCTTCGGTAGAAGGATCCGTAGACACGCTACCGACGGCTAAAGCATCACTTATTCAGACATCTAACAATGAAGAGACGATGAACACGTTGTTCGACTACAATACTTTAAATCAAAATGCATCTGAAAGAATGGTTCAGCCACAAACTACAAAGACAGATAACAATACAGCTTTACCGTTAGGGGAAAGAGATTATTCGTTTCCTTTACAAACAAACAGGATACTAAATGAGCGCAAAAGAGACGGATCGCAAAACGCAAAGGACGTTGACTCGGTGTTAAAGTCACCTGTATCTGGAAATCAGCTGGAGTCACTAATGCCCCCGCCTCCTATTATTCCAACATCAACGGCCAGAACAGCAACAGAACAAATCATTCGATTCATCGGGAAAGCGTCTGACCTTGTAGAAAAACTGAATGAGAAAAAGAAGAGAGTGTCGAATATGATGGTAAATATTGAGCATGAGAAAGGAAATACTCTACAACCTACCTCAGAAGCAGTAAAAATATATTACAATTCATCTACAGAAAGAGCAAAGAATTTAACAGAAAATATTCCAAATGATTATCAAAAACCAGATCCTCTAAACAAGAATCACAACAAAGTTAACACCAAGCAATATGATGCGGACAAAGATCTTGGCAAAGGACAACGAATTTTAGAAGATTATAGAAAACTTTTGATTGATAACAGAAAGAGTATTAAAACTTCCGCTTTTGATTCCGACGTAAATAGCTTACATCAAAATGTTCTTAATGGAGTTAATTCTAAATCAATATTTAATGGGGTTAAAAGAAATGGAGAACAACCATTTGTTGAATGGTTAGCTCGTCGGGATAATCTTCATTTGAATAAAGGTATTCCTCCACAAATTCCCACGATTCAAGATGGGTCAGAAAATGTGAAATCTGAAGTTCGCTCAGGTAATACTATTCCAGATATCCTCAAATCAAACCTTAATACTAGAGGATTCATAAAACCTCTACTTCCGTCAGTAAACAGGACCTTGGGACAAAGAACGAATTCGGCCCCATGTAACTCCTCGTTGGGAAAGGAAGAAATCATGTCTCTTGCCGTGAATGTACTTCGTCTCCTTGTATCTAATTTGAAATTGCAGCAAGCTTTGCAACGTTCACATGAGAATATCGTGTCGACAAATCTCCTCAGTCGAAAGTACCTTCTGATACCATTACCGCAGGGAAACGCACAAACTAACCACTCAGATCGACACGCAAATAAGCTTGATAAACAGATAATTCGAAAAGGGAGTTATTCATCTGCAAGTTTTTTACAAAATCAGATAGAATCTTTTCTCAAGAAAAGTCCTATGCAAGCCAACATGGATCAAACACCTCAAGTTAAACAAAGGTTAATTCGAAAAAGGCCATCTGCTGGTCCATTGAGCCATAAGGTGTCTTCTGTGGTAGACAAGAAAATAAAAAGAAAAGTCATTCATAAACACGGAAAAGGAATTCTTCAAAATACATTGTATAACAATTTGTCTACTAGAAGCAAGCAACACAAAGAAAAGGCAACATACCGGGAAAATGAAATGAAAGATGACAATGTTGAAAATCATTTACCAAAACTAGAAACACGGATAAAATTTCATACAACAAAATCGAAAAAAAATTAAGATGTCTTAATGAGTTGCGGTGCTTTACAATTTATTCAAACCATACATTTGGGAAACGTTTTTGATACAGTAGTTAAAGCAGTTGCATTTTTATATAATTGTTTTTTACTGAGCTGCAAAATTACTTTAACTATAAGCTGGTTACTCAAGCGCCTTCAAGAGTAAATGGGAATAATGGAAGACTTCCTCACTGAATTTTGCAGAACTCTGGGATCATTGAACATTTTATGTCATAACATGCCTAGTATATTATTCATAAGAAAGGTTTACCCATATGTTTGTGTCTCGTTAGTTTTAGTGCTTTTATTGTGACTTAGTGCTTACATTGTGATGCATTCATAAACAACTTGGAAGTAGATCTCAGATTTCAAACTTAATGTAGAATGGTCTCATTTAAGATATATGAAGTGTGACATGCAAATTAATTTTGATTTTAAAACTTTATACGTATAAAATTGTCTTTACATCGATCCTTTGTTGGGTTGTGTTATACCTAATATCCTTTAAAAAGCATTGGTTTTTTATTAAAAGATATCACTCACTTTTAAGATCTATCGCAGTAATTGCATACAAATTAGTTTCTTAATATAGTAAATACCGATAACGCACTGTTAGGAAAATAAGATGAAAACTTTATTCATAATACCCATACTGAACATCTTTTCAGTTTATGATATTAGAAATTTGAGAAACACCCAACTCTGCGACTCTAAGAAACGAACTAACCACTTTACCCTTTTACACTGTTTCTCAAACATGTGAGGAAGCAAAGAAAAATGATCGTCATATCCGACATATTGATTGTTATATCATTCAAAGGGGATTTTATATGTCAGATATCTAAGATCTCATTGCAGTCACATTCGCTCATGTTTTGCCATAATCCAAAGTATACGTCTTTCTTTTACATGTACCTTTAGAAAAAGAAATAATTTTTTAAACACCGTGATAACTTCACAAATGTTTGTCTTTTGTAATGGCTTGAACCTACCTAACGTAGCATCACGAATAACCTTTGGAATTGAAAACGAGGGGAGTGACCATGTTCTGATAACAGGAAAAACTAGATTTTTCAAGACATTTTTCTAAAATGAGCGAGACTGATACGAGTGTTTTGCTCTTTGATCCTCTATGTATATACCTTTAACCTTTGATCCTCTATGTATATACCTTTAACCTTTGATCCTCTATGTATATACCTTTAACCTTTGATCCTCTATGTATATACCATGCCTCGCTCGTAATTTATTGAGATGTGTGCGAGATTAAATCTCAACATTGCTTGTCTTCAGAAAGGTGCTTAAATTTTTATTCATTCATCGGTTTTCACTTAAATGCTTTCAGCAAATCAAAAATTAAAATACGTCAAAATAAAAATTCAAATAAGCACATGTTTCTTACAGCATTATGCACACAAAATGTTATTTTTACACTATGAAGCGCAAACAGAATCATATTTCTCCTCCTATACAAGTTTTTAAAAGTTGGTCTAATGTTTTGAAGTGACATCCGATTTTGTTCAGGTCTGTATTACTATGACATTAATTGAAACATAACAAAATTAAGGTGAATATAAATGTAACGAGAAAACTATTTCCTAAATAAAGCATAGCAAAGGCCAGAAAGATGTCTTTACCACAGTTGAGTGGCAAAATTAGTCAACATTGTTCAAAACACAAATAAACAGACAAGTTATTAGCGTCACAAGAATTCCTGTTTTGACTTTGAGGCTGTCCCCGAGAGTGCCTGGAGACCCAGATCTAGGTGTCGCAGGGGGAGATTGACTTTCAGTTGTTTTAGATGCTTCTTCCACATGGGAGGAACTCAGTTTTACATCAGTTGTAGAGAAAGTTGATGTTTTTGTGGTTGTTGAGAGATCTACGATTCCAGTTGTCTTTAAATGTGTTCTTTGCGATGTGGCCTTGACATGAACAGATGCAGTCGTAAATTTCTCTTTGGACGAAGATAACTCAGCACGCAGTGACGTAATCAACAATGTCTGATTCGGGGATGATGACGTTGGATGACGTTCCTTAGTTGTAGATGTCGGTGAGGTCGATTCCTGTAGGATTCTTTTCGTAGTTGTTGGCCTACACATGGTTAGGTAGCTTTGATACCAGTCAGACAGAGGAATTTTCTCAGAGTTTTTCGTCCTTACATCACAGTAATTGTAATCTATGAAGTTCTTATAGAAGGGGTTATCAAAAATCCAGTTTATTTCACAATTGCACTTAATACTGTTACTGAACATTATAAATATTGTACTTATTTTTGTATCATATAATTGTGGTTCAACACTTAAGAAATGATTATTTGAAAAGTCAAATGACCTAATAGATGAGAAGTTCGTAAAACAATTTTCTCTTACAATTTCAATGGTATTGTTTTGAAACTGGAATAATTTCGTTTTCTTTACGTCACTGAATGACGCAGTTTGGAGTTCGCCAATAAAGTTGTTAGAACATACGATTTGATCGTCTGCTTTAATTATTGCGAGAGCATGTGATTCAATAATATCGACATTGTTGTACATAATTGAGATCGACGAAACATTCATATTTGAAAATGCAAACGATTCAAATCTAGTTATATTATTTCTTTGGAATTCTATGTCGCTGAGATTAAGCAGACTCGTGAACGCAAGACTGCTAATGATCCCTACGTTAGAAAATCTGACGTAGACACTTTTGATCTCAGGTGACTGAGAGAAAGCATTTTGTGGAATAGAGCTCAAGTTCGAGTACAGAATTTGAAGTTGCGCTGTTCTTTTCGGAAAATATGATGGAAAATTTTGAAGACGTTCGCAGATTACGTCAGTTTGCTTTGTGTCGTCATTTTCAATGCATCGACAGCCACCAGGGCAAAGCGTCGTGGTGCTCACAAAGGATATTCCCAAGGAAATAACCAGATAGAAATATGGCACTGAAAAATAGAATTCATGTAAATTGTTATATATTTTACTTTTCATGTTACATGAAGGGTTAACATATGAAATAATTTGAAGGATAATTAAAGGTGAATTTGTCGAAATTGTGGAATTTGGAGATTATTGTTATGAGGGAGAATTATAAATCTTCCTTGATATGAAACCATTCATTTTTTAATATCATGACAAATACAATCTCACTCTCTACCATCGGCTCATACATTCACCGCTGTCGTTGGCTCCCGTATATCACAGTGATAAACATGAGAAATATTGCGTTTGTTTTAATTCAGTTTCTATGCTTTTGTATGAGTTTTGAGAAAGATATTTACTAAATCAATCCAGAGTCATTAATTAAATTTGAAACAATCCAGCAAATATCACGTTTTATAAGTTATGTCAAAAATCTTGATGTGAGTCCATTGCTGAGAGGGGAACGAACAACAACTCTGCATGGGAGATTGATATAATCTATGTATGTGAGAAATATTTGCTAACTTTTTCGAAGGGAAAAAGAAGCTTTTCTGATCGAAAATTTGTCCTTTGTCTCGTCGTTGTTAGCGTTGTCGTAGACTTTTCACACTTTTATCTTCTTTTAAAGAACCTCTTGGTCAATTTTAACCAAACTTGCCATAAAGTAAACTTGGCTGAAGGGGATTCAAGCTTGTTCAAATGAAGGGTCACGCCCTTTTTCAAGGGCAGATAGTTATGAATTAGTGAAAAATTAATGTTATCTTTTTAAAATCTTCTCAACAACCACTGGACCAGGAAAGATGAAACTCAAGTGGAATCATTCTCAGGTAGTGTAGATTCAAATTGTTCAAGTCAAATCGATCAAGACCTCCCGAGGGTAGGGTGTGGTCACAATGGACGATCAGAGTTTTACAAAGAAATATATAGGAAAAACCTTTAAAAATCTTCCTCTCAAGAACCACTTGGCAAGTAACATGAAACTCGTGTGGAATCATCATCAGGTAATGTAGATTCAAGTTTATTCAAATCATGACCCCCGGGGTTGGATGGGGCCAAAATGGTCGATTAAGTTTTACGTAGGAGTATATGGCACGCCAAATTCACAAAAATGAGCTAATCATAGTTTCACAATCGATAAACTAGGTTTATCGGTTGTAAACTATAGTTTACGGACTGTAAACTATAGTTAACAACGTTAATCTATATTTTACATCTGTAAACCATAGTTAACGCGATAATCTATATTTCACAACCGTAAACTATACTTAACACCGAAAACAATCATTTGCGATTGCAAAACATAGATTATCTGATAAATACAGTTTCACGATTTGTAAACTATAGTTTACAACTCTTAACTATAGTTAACTGTTAACTGATAAATATAGTTTCGATTTGTGTTAACTGTTAACTAATAAATATAGTTTCGATTTGTGAAACTATGATTAACAACTCTTAACTATAGTTTACGATTGTAAATTATAGTTTACAAACTTGAATCTATGTTTATCAACAAAATCTATTGTTAACGCTTTATTACAGACAGATAACCTTAGATTAGCATTCGTAAACTATAGTTAACAACCGTTAAATATAGTTTTACAGATGAAAACTATAGTTAACGAATTGTTAATTATAGTTTACGGTTTGTAAACTATATAGTTTACAGTCGATAAACCTGGTTTATCAACTGTGAAACTATGTTTAGCTCATTTTTGTGAATTTGGCGTGCCATAGGGTATACAGGGAAACTTTATTTTCCTCAAACAGTAAAGCCATATTGGTATATCAATTTTAAACATCCTCAATTAGTATAAATTTTAAATCCGCCCCCCCCCCAAGTAAACTTTTCAATACTGAGCTGATTTGTGTTTTTACCTAATCCATATGCTCAGATGAGCGATGTGGCCCATGGGCCTCTTGTTTAGTTTTTATTTTTATTTATTTTTTTTTAAATAAAATTCATTATCGTTTCAGTGAATTCAAATGTTTAGATAAAAAAAAAACAGAATTGTGATAATTAAATTATTTTTAATTTTCGTTATTAGTATTACTGTATACAATGTACACTGTACATTATATCAGTATTATTACGTATGGACATCTGAGATAATTTAATCAAAATACAGTGTTACATGTATTAATTACTAATTAGATATATAAAGAAGCTTCATTATACCTCATTTTCAAATGAAATTGAAGATGTACATTTGTGGAAAAATAATCAAATTAATTAATTTACTCTTAGGTTAATAATAATGTATTAGAAATGATATAGAATCATGGAAGAAAATGAAATCAAACTTACTTTTTAGAGCGCTATGGTCTTGATTCTGAACTTTTTACAATGTTCCCAGGCAATGATAAAGTTCAGTTTTTCTGACTCTTAAGATAATTATTTAGAAATACAGGTGTTATCGTGGATGTTTGACCATTTGTTTTCCTCCTCAGTTTTCCTGATGACTGCTATCTTTACGGGATGTGTATAGAGTATGCATAGGATGGCAGTTTACGGCGTAAAGGAAAACATGCACAAACAGACAGACAAACAGGCTGATAAACAGCGATATGCTAAATCAATAGCCCTATCTATAAGTACATTTTGACTTTAATGCATGAGAAAAATCGGATGCATAAATTATATTCTCCAAATTTTGAAATGCGAATAGAGACGTACAATTGAAAATTCAGATAAAATAGCTTAATTATTTTGCTTTTAAGTTTTATTAGATATTAAATTATATGATAATGACATTTAATAATCAGTTCACTGGTTCCTCTTCATCGATAACAAGTGAATCTATCTAAGACAAGAAGACGGGATAGGTGGGGTACTACATATAATATTTACGATTTGCTTTAAACAAGTAATTGAATCTTCGATCTGTCGCAGTAGGTGCTGGCAAGAAAAAGATCCCTCCCTGCTCAATGGCCCCAAGTACCGAGTATAGGACAAAATCTGCAGCTCTCCATCGGCAAGCGGTGGCGTCTCCATATGAGTGAAAAACTCTCGAGAGGGACGTTAAACAGTATATATAATCAATCAATAAATCCAATTCTTTGATCAACAAACACATTTTAGAAATAAATATCATAGGTTATCCATGCTTTCGAAGAAATTGCATGTAATTTTAAAACATATATTGGAAGTTCTGTTGTCATCGTCAGATACCCACGGGTGAACTCGTCTTACTACAAGTAAAAGACGATATCACCCGTGGGTATCCGACGATGGTTCCTTGGTTTCTTTCATTTAAATAATTACTTGGCCGGATCATTTTACATAGCATAGTACGTGTATAAATCATTGCAAAATACCACGAATCACTTTTAATTTCATATCATGTTAATAAACATGGGTATCTATGTTTAGATTTATTTTTAAGAACCTAAATTTCTTTAAATATATAATTTTTTACATACCTTTATTGGGTAAAAATTTCGAGACTTTTTATAGGACCTTTCTGAGAACTTCAAAGAACATTGAAGCACATTGAGATGTATTAAATAAAAATTGTTGTATGAAAAGATTTAATTTTCAAGCTTTATTTTGAAACTTTTTAAGGGGGTCGACATATGGTAAACTCAAGCTCTCAAAGAAAGACGTAATAAAAATGTTATAAAAAATAATTTTAAAAAATACGCTCTTGAAATTTAAAACAGAAATTTAAGAATATCTCCATTATTTTTATTATGGTTTCATATAAATCCTTTGCGTCCGTGATATTTTGTAGTACTCTTTAAAAACAGGAAAATTCGTTAATTTTTGGTATTTTGAGATGCCCCCTCTGGTATTATGATGTGGAATATAGTATTAGTCATCAAATATTATAATTTGAACTAAAAGTCTATTGTAGTATTTGTATAATTTGCTTTAAAGTGCTAAAAATTGGCATTTTCCTACACAAAGCAGTACATCATACAGTCTTAATGCACTTTCTGGCAATTAGTAAAATCGCTCAACCAAACCTCGATTTCACCACGAAGTTTTATTTACATTTTAAAGGTTTGTTCAGATAAGTCAGTTTGATATTAACATTATAAGCCTCGAGTTTCTGATTATTTTATTATAAGGATTTAACAGCCAAGAGACATACCTATTGTTTGAGATCCCTTATTATTGCTTTTGTTTATAAACCCGAATTTCCTCGCAATTAGTCTTTCTACGCATTTTCACGATTTTCTCCAATGCAAATTAAAATAGGCAAATAATGGAGAAGTCAATACTTTTGAAATATCAATTTTTATGTAAATCTTCCTTGAATTGTATGTCTAAGTAGTCTTTAGTTTATTAATTATGTCAACATGGTCATTTGGGTGGTCCAGACACTCAATATCGGGTGCTAGTCACTGCGCCCCAAAACCTGAACGCCCCATGCATGAACGCCCCAAAATTTTTTACCTTCGCCCAAGTACAAATATGAGCGCCCAAAATCTTAATCACGAGCGCCCCAAACGTATTTCACCAGCGCCCCAAATTAGCATTTCGGGCGCCCCAAGGCTTAAATTAACTAGTAAAGAACCAATCTGTTGTCTTTGATGCGTGTTTTATTACAATTTATTAGATTTAAAAAATATATTATTATTCACGAGCGTCCCGAATGATATTTATCAGTTGTTTATCACGAGTGCTTCAAGTTTTGCGATAAAAACGCCCCAAGAATTGTAAACTAGCTTATATGAAGATAAATGTAAACGTACTAAACAAATGGAATTCATATTTATACGTGCATTCACGAACCGTAATTTATTTTGATTTTTTAATTTTTTTGATTTATTCAGTGCTAATAAGGATCTTACAGAGAGGAAATACACTGTACGAATAGAATAAACTTAAACACCGATGTGTATTTCTGCAGTAACTATGTAATAATAACCAGAAAAGTTTTTAGACTAGCTGTCATATTCATTGTAGAAACATGTGGTCTTATACCTTATATCTCCTGTAAATCGGTAAATTAAACTATTCGAGATACCAAGTACCTACTTTTTTTAAAATCATCTACGTAGGTTGCAATTTTTTTTTATAAGAGTTACGAAATTTATTTAGAATCTGTCAGTAATAAATATACAACAAAAATTATAAGAATACAAAAAATTATACATCATTTAACATACCCAAAGTCATCTATCTATTAATATTTTTTTTTTTAACTAATTTTAATGATGTAGATTAGGTTCAAAATCGCATTTTATCCTTAGTATAGTGCACGTGCCGTGCACTTTCGTTGCTTCTTG